ATTATTTAATTGTATTAATATATAATATTTATTTTATTAATTATCAATAGTTTTACTGAAAAAGAGCATCTCATAACCCAAAGGTCTAATGATTTAATCAATTTTTAATTCAATTTTAGTTAATTCAATCTTTGAAAAAATAGGCTGTTTGTTCAGAAGTTTAAAAATCAAAATTAATAATAGCTATTCAGAAAACTTAAACAATGTACTATTATTAATTTTTCTGAACCACCTCCCTTTTGAAAAAATATTTAAATTTTAATTTATAAATATTTCTACATTTGGGGATATGGGATAAAATCTTATTTGTTCCTAGTAAAAGAGCTAACATTTTATTAACATATTTTTTATGCTTTTATACACTTTTCAATCGTTTGAAAATGAAAGAAAGGAAGTATAAATTTCACTCTTTACCTTTGAGGTATCGAAATTATTTTTAATTTTTACTCACCATAAATTAAATTACACTCACTAAAAATAAAATTGATAATATATATTTTTTTTATATTGGTTGGTAGAATAATAAAATTAAAATTTATTCTATTTCAATCTAGATCTAGATTTGAAATTTATTAATTAATTATTATATTATTGCTGATTATTTTTTGATAAATATGTGTAGAAACATGACATATCCATGTCAGGATGTAGATTATATAATTATATATAAATATATAATTTAGATAGAAATATTAACATAATTAAATTCCTAATGTTCAAATTAAATATTCAACCAGAATTACTCATATCCAATTTTTTGGAAAACCCGTTAATTACTGATTCGTGTTTATTCATTTAAAAATGGCGCGCTCACAGATACGTATATATATCTAAGATCATAGAATCAGTTTGTTTTCTTTATTAAAATATGACCACGGGGTCTTCACAACCCGTGTAACGTTTAACTTTTTTGCACATTTGAAGAAATAAATAATAAATAAGCACCAGATAGAATAAGAATTCGTTAACATGGAAGCTTGCAGCATTGGAAGAAAATATTCTTGATTAAAATTTCAATATACAAAATTTAAAATCTTAAAGGAAATTTCTTGTTTTTTTTATCTTACTAACGATTGGTTTGTCTTTAGGAAGTATTATTGTCAAAATATAAATGCAAATAAAGTTATTCTCATTAAATTATTTATGAAGACAAGTTATACCTACCTACTTATCTTTTACCATGTGATATTTTCTCTCGGCTGCTGGCTCCGTTGTTGTATCATGCACAATTGTTCATAAAATTAATTTTAACTTATCTTTTTCGTTCTCGGTGTTTGTGAAGACCCACCCATCGTCCAAACGACATCTCGCGTCGACATCAACATTGCCAATCATCAGTTCTCCGACAACTGTTCGACCATTAGTACCGCGTCATCGAGTTCGACTTCATCCAGCTCTAGTTCTTCGCCGAACTCTTCGCCTGGTCAAACAAAAACGATCGATGTGGAAGACACCAGTCCCAAGTTGAGTAGAAGGCAACGAAAAAATAGATTGAATTCGACCACCCAGAAGAATGAAAACTAAGGTGACGACTAGCAAAAAGCAAACAGTGGTGGCCCAGAATTCGATTCAGGCCAGCCGGCCTCCAGCGCCGCCACTGCGACAACACACTAAGCTGAACTTGTCCGAGAATGAATTGGTGAAGTATTTGCGAGCTTATTTATTGAACGAGAGTCAGTTTTTGACTCTAGGGTATCCTGTGGAAAGCTCTTTGTACCCTAAACGAGCGATCATATATAAAACTAACGATCCTAGACAAAGTCCTCCGACTAATGTCAAACTATTTTACAACACGAGTTCTGCTTTTGTGCCGCCTAATGCTGAGACTTCCTCCACCGATTCTGGGCAAGGTTCTAGTGACGAAGAACCGAGCTCAATGAGTGAATTGGAACTTCAAAGTTTGAAAGTGAAGCAACGGCAATTCTACATCGAGGAGAAAATGCATAAACAACTAATGCGTCAAGATTATACGAGTGATGAGAAAAAGTGCGTGCGTTGCGGTAAAGGATTTTTCGTTACCAATGATGGTGAATACTTAACTCAAGAGCACTGTGCTTATCACTGGGGCAGATTGCAAATTAACCCTGATAACACTTACAAAAAGCAGGAATACACATGCTGCAAAGGCAAATTAAATTCCAATGGCTGTGAAACTGGAAGATTGCATGTGTGGAATGGTGTGGATTTTGGAGTTAATGGTCCATTCGATGGCTATGTTAAAACCAAGACTCGCAAGAGTAAAATGGATAATCCTGGTGTTTATGCTTTAGATTGTGAAATGTGTTACACAGCTCATGGTCTAGAATTAGCTAAACTTACTGTAGTTGGCAGTGATGGCAGATTGGTCTACGATGCTTTCGTCAAACCAGAAACTGAAATAGTAGATTACAACACAAGATTCTCTGGAATAACCGCCAGGGATCTATCAAAGCGAAACGGTACCACCTGCAAATCTTTAAAAGAAGTACAACATGATCTTTTAGAATTTATATATGCAGACACCATCTTAATCGGTCATGGTTTAGAAAATGACCTGCGTGCTTTGAAAATCCTGCACAATACAGTCATCGACACAGCCATTGCCTTCCCACACTATTATGGCTTACCATTTAGAAGAAGCTTGAGAAGTTTAGCCAGTAGTTTCTTAAAACGTGATATACAGTGTTCCGAGAGTGGACATGACAGCTTTGAGGATGCTCGGGCCTGCGTTGAACTGATGCTGTGGAGAATCAGAAAAGATCGAAGTAATAGTAACAGCATCAAGCAAGATGCTAATTAGGTGCTAGAGTGAATGAATAGGTGTGAATTTTGTGATACGATTTCTTACGTATTTAAAATCATGTTCTTTTAACACATCAGTTACATATTTAAAGTATGTATCTTTTTTAAAATCACTTCGAATCTTGAGCTTAACAAAGTGAGTTTTAGAACAAATACTATATAAATAAGAGTGTGATAAGTATAATTAAGTAGTTGTATAAAAATTATATTTATAATTTGATAATGCATTCACATGCAGATGCATAGTATGAATGTATATGCAAATGTATGTTTGTGAAAGTGTATGTAATTATATATAAATATATATAATTTTGTATGTATGTATGTAAATGTAACATATTTATAATTTATAAGCATATTTCATTTTTTACTTTTTCATCATATTAGTTTTATTTTTAATAATGTTGAATAGTTATAAGGAATCTCGTTATATAAGTAAGACTCAAGTGTACTTAATTCATTATCGACTAAGTGTCTCTTAACGAAAAAGTATTACTATTTTAAAGAAGTGTGATTGTATGTATTAAATTAAAATATATATCTACATTTAATATATATTTGTAGATATGAATTTTTTGTGAGTTTGTATATAGGTATGAGATTTGTTGAATGTGTATTTTTTCAAATAAATTTTAATTAGATCTCGATTTATATGTATTAATGAGATTGATTTGTTAAATGTGAATCTTTTTACTTGTAAATGAGAGGCTATAAGTCTATGTATATATGAATAATGTACACTTTATAATTCTATTTTTAAGTTAATTTTGTTAAATATAACAAATATGAAATCAATTTGTGTTCAATTTTTTGAATACTCATACTGTTGTTATTAATTTTAATCTTAATTACAGTTTTTTCATTTACATTAAGATCTCCTAATGAGTTGCTAGTATGTCATACTAAGCACGGAATTAAAAAACAATGAAATCCATTGAAAAGATCTAAAAATTTGTTCAATTTATGAGAATTTTGCTTATGTAAATACCAATACTATTTCACTTGCTTGTGTTGATCCAACATTTTTGGATTTTAAATTTACATATTTTTTAATAGCTGTTTATAAAATATATTTGAATTTTACTTGGAATCTTATTATTAATGCTCTGTTGATAAGTTTTATTTTGGTTTTGGTATGAAATATTTTAAATCTTTAATTGGTTTCAAACTAAAATAAACTGGTTTCTTATGAAGGTGATAAGTATATTATCTCTTTTTATTAATAAAGTAATTTTTAATAACCTCTATATTTATCTTCACATTTTAATATTTTTCTTTATCATATCAATTACAAAATTTAAACTTGTCAACAGAGTTAATAACTAACATGACTTCATTTCCTAAATATCATAATAATTTTCAATCGTCACAAAATTATTATGAATGATTAACTGATTGTAAATTTTATAGAAGTGTACCTGTATTTGTATTATCAATTCAGAGCTTCTGTTTATATTTACAAAGTCAATATATTAAATATTACAAAATCATTAAATTGAACTATTATATAGCAATGTATAACTATATTTCTAATTTAACAAAGTGCCTGTCGGAAAAATTCAAATGCCGATGAAATGTTTGAAATATAAAAAATATTTTATGAACTTTATTCTGTGTGCGTCTTTTTTATTTTTTATTGTATGATTTTTGAAAAAAAAATTGATTGATTAAATGAATCATTTATGAAAAATATAAACATATTGTTTTATTGAACATATAAATTACTTAATAGATGCTGATTTAATTGATGATATTTTTTGCAAACAATTGTAGTAAAATTTAAATCTTTTAAATGGACATTCAATGAACATTTTGTGTGTTTTAAAAGTTATTTTTAAATTTATTATGAGTTTCGACTTTTTGATAAATACGATTTTTAAATTATAGATCAACTGATTAAGTTAATAGTTCTTGCAAATAGGAGAAAATTATATAACTGCAGTTTATTCAAGTCAGTATATTCAATAAAAGCCAAAGGTATTTTTTATGTTTAAATTTATTTGTAAATTGAAAATTACAATCTTTAGATTGTTCATGAACAAATATCATAGCTTATTAATTATCCCAAGGATAAGTTAGTTTTTGCCAAAGAATCGGACTTGCTGATATATATATCCAAATGTTAATTATTTTGACATGTTTGAAATGAGTGAAAATCCATGGATATATCTTTAATTCTGCATCTTTCTTCTGCTGTAGTTTTAGCATCAGAAGCAGCTTTAATTGCATCCTCTTCTTGCTCTTTCTCTGTCATTAGCAGTTTTACGTGCTGCTTCTGCTGCAGTTTTAGCATCAGCAGCTGCCTTAATTGCATCCTCAGCAGCCTGCTGTTTAACGATAGCAACCTGCTCCGCCAGATCAGCCACACGTTTTATGCCAATAAGAGAATCTTCTAGAGACTTATGATATACAGTATCGATTCCTGGTAATGGATATTCGTGTCTAGCTATTTCTCTGTCATTAGCAGTTTACGTGCTGCTTCTGCTGCAGTTTTAGCATCAGCAGCAGCCCTAATTGCATCCTCAGCAGCCTGCTGTTGAACGATAGCAGCCTGCTCCGCCAGATCAGCCACACGTTTTATGCCAATAAGAGAATCTTCTAGAGACTTATGATATACAGTATCGATTCCTGGTAATGGATATTCGTGTCTAGCTTTTTCTCTGTCATTAGCAGTTTTACGTGCTGCTTCTGCTGCAGTTTTAGCATCAGCAGCAGCCCTAATTGCATCCTCAGCAGCCTGCTGTTGAACGATAGCAGCCTGCTCCGCCAGATCAGCCACACGTTTTATGCCAATAAGAGAATCTTTTAGAGACTTGGTATGGTAATCTGAAGTAGATCTACTTTGCGCAACCGCTACAGCTGGTTCAACATCTTCTCTCTTTTCGGATGTTCCATCACCACCACTATCCATGCTTGGATTTTCTATTTTGAAAAATGTTAATATTTTTGACATGTTCAAAATGAGTAAAAATCCATGGATATATATCGATGACTTTTTGACATGAAATATTTAAAGGGAAAATTTGTATGTTTTTGAAACGTTTAAAATGGGTGAAAAATGTTAATATTTTTGACATGTTTGAAATTGACGAAAAACCATGGACTATAGTCCGATTTTAAAAATTCAAAAGTCATCTTTTAAAACTCGTCAAGGGTTAAGAAATAGCATCGATTAGCTCTGCAAGATGATTTTTAGGAGTGTTTCTTTGGAATTAGTAGAAATGTGCGAAATGTTTGCATCTTTTTACGTTTCGAAGGCTTCTGAACATTTTGTTAAAAAATTGATGTATATGTGTTTAGTTTTTGGCACAGGCAAATCTAGCCGTTTCGGAGTTATGGCTAGAAAAGTGCCATAAATGGCAATTCAGTTTTGCCCGATTTGAATGATAAAAAAAAAAATTCATTTGTATTGATGGAATGTAAAGTTGATTAAACTTTTGGGAAGGCAGATCGAGCGGTTGATGAGTCCCAGAAAAAGAAGTTGAAACTAGTGAGGTGCATGGCATCGTGCCTTAAGGCAAATTGCTGGAACTTCCCGTACCGTAATTAAAAATCTTGGTACGGAACACAAACAAAAATTACACAAAATGTATACACATTATTAAAATCTCTATAAAATATCTGAAAATTTGATGTACACATGTGCAATAAACATTTTTGACCGCCAAATGACATTTTTTTAACCTATTTTTATTGAGAGTCTATAACCGATGGACCTGCCTTCCCAAAAATTTGAACAGTTCTTCATCTTGTCCATACAAGTACAATGTTTTTGAATTATTAAAATCGCACGCTCCGTTTGATTAAAAACTGGGTTACCGTTTTTGCCTATGCCAAAAACTAATCGGCACGTCCTTATCAATACGAATCGGAAGTTTTTTGAATTATTCAAATCGGTTGATCCGTCTTTCCGAAATCGTCGACGAAAATTTGTATCCGCACACACACACATACATCCATTTTTTCTAAGGTATGCCAAAATATTCAGAAACCTTTGAAACGTAAAGATATATAAAAATTTTCATTTTTGATTTTTTGCGATTACTATAACTTGCCCTACGGGAAGTTAATTAAAGTATTTATTGTTTAGATATATCGAGTAATTCCGATGTTTTTGCAATAGTTGCTTTTATATTTATATTTCACATTGTTCTGCAAATTTGTTTATACGGAACTGCTAGTGAATGACTAATAGTATTCCATCTGGATTTATTTATAATTATTATGTAACAGTATACTTCCATCTACTCATTTGGTCATTCTAGCGTAAAAGTCATCTTAAAAACTGACCTTTTTCTCACTTTTTCGCCTTAATGACGTGTAACTGATTCTGATTGAATCACTAACCTTGACATAAAGAACAAATCAACCGAATCCTCGTCGTTCCTAATTAGATTTTTATTCAATGGCAATGTGACATGATAATGATTTATCATAAAGAAATAGTAAATATACTGATAAATAAAATATTCACACTCTAGGTAACTTCCCTTAGGGTAAGTTATAGCAATCGCAAAAAAATCGGAAATGAAAATTTTTATATATCTTCACGTTTCAAAGGTTTCTGAACATTTTGGCATACCTATGTAACCTAATGTATGTATGTGTGTGTGTGTGTGTGCGGATACAAATTTTCGTCGACGATTTTGGGAACACCGATCAACCGATTTGAATAATTCAAAATGCGTATTAATAAGGAGGCGTGCTGATTAGTTTTTGGCAAATGCAGGTCTAGCCGTTCCGAAGATACGGGACAAAAAGTGCCAAAAACCGTAACTCAGTTTTTAAGAGAACGGAGCGTCCGATTTTAATAATTCAAAAAACATTTTACTTGTATTGATAAGATGAAGAACTGCTCAAATTTTTGGGCAGGCAGGTCCAGCGGTTATGGACTCTCAATAAAAATAAGTTAAAAAAATGTCATTGGGCGGTCAAAAATGTTTATTGGACATATGCACATCAAATTATCAGATATTTGATAGATATTTTAATAATGTGTACACATTTTGTGTATTTTTTTTTTAGGTTCCGTACCAAGATTTTTAATTACGGTACGGGAAGTTCCAGCAATTTGCCTTAACGCACGATGCCATGCACCCACTAGTTATTAGCTTATTTTCCACTTCTATTTAGCAAAGATTTTGAATTTCTTATCAATTTATTTAGTTCAAGTAAAGTAGAATCGATGAAGTAGTAACTTCAACGATAATTTTGTATAATTATACTTTCAGTCACATTCTCTATTCATTGAAATGATTTCTATATTTTTTACTAATTTATTTCTATATTTTCATGTTGAGTGTATAAAGTTTAAAACATTTGTTCATTTGTTGGTGGAGATTGATGGAACTTATCTCGACTTCTGATGTTTTTCATAAAAAGAAATTATATTATTTTTGTTTTGTATAAAAATCAGCAGATGTGCACATATTCAACTTTCACATTCGTAATTATCTATATGTATATATATATATATGTATGTGTATATATATATATATATATATGTATATATATATATATATTAATATAAAATGACGATATAATATGAATCACGAACATGATTACCGTGGCAATGAACTTACAAATGAAAGTAGAAAGTATTAGATATTGTTATGTTGTATTATTTGTGCAGAAATATAATATATGCAGATTTGCCCGTATGCATGTCAGGCTATAAATCTATTTTTTTAATATTCGGACATATATACATATAGATATATATTCGAATAGTCTTGAATTTGATGTTGATATAATATGTGTAATTTGAGTTAAAAAGTCGGACGTTACATCAATAAAAATAGTATGAGAGTTTTTAAAAATTTATTTAAAATCCATTCGGTTCGGCTAACAACTTAACCTTCATTCAAAACCTAAGTAAATGCCTTCATCAACATAAAAACAACTCAAAAAATCACAACCAATTCAAAACGATGTTAACTGTTTTGAGATTTTTTCAACTCAAAAATTTTACATTTTGAAGAGAACGTAATTAAAAGAAGATTCGCTGAGGGATTGTTTTTGCAATTGCATAACGACAGGGTCATAAACAAACGCTTCGACAATACGGCCCTGAACGAAACAAACACGTGGTTTCTAAATAGCTTGTCAAAATTTCTTAAAAAATGACAAGATCCCATGGCTTTTTAAAATTTCCAGTAAAATTCTTCCAAATTTTATCAATTTGGAAGCATTCGAGCCCCTGATAGCAAGTAAATTCAAAAACACCCATATTAAGGCTCACCTTAATTATATTTATGTGTGTGTGTGTTGAGAGTAATTAAAATATAATAATGATAATGCTAAATAGCAGTATGAAATTAAAACTTGCAATGCAGCTCTATTTGTCAGTAGTCAATATTTTATAAAATATTTTTTCAAACAAATGTAGAGAAATGCAGACGTCCTAGGCCACTTTAGTTTATGTAATAAATTGGAAACAAAAAAAAATTCAAATATGAATCAAAACTCTGAATCTCCAATTGTGGCATGCTTTGCAGTGGGTAAACCACCCATTTACGAGAGTCATTCAAGTGTACGTAACTTTACCGCAACTTTTTGGCCCAGCAGCCTTAAAGAAAACAAAATTTTTAGACGAGTTGAAAAAGTTTGATCTTCGCTGGGTTCATGTTGAAAAATAAATTACCATTTTTCCGAAACAGTGCTTTTCATTTGTAAGCTAAGTAGATATTTGTTGGATGACCCACGTATATATTTTCAGGAAATCATGTACCATGCAAATAACTATCCTTTTTTATTTCCGCCATAGATAGAACAGTTTTTGTATGGTCTCTGACTTCTCTTCCTGCAACGCGATCTTTCCGGATAAATGTGCCTTATGACCACGCGACCAGGGTGTGCTGGTCCCCAGATAACAAGGCGCTGCTGGTTCACACGTACCAGGAATCAACGATCATGGTCTTCAAACTGGACAAGTGCAAGAAGGACAAGGAATCCTGGTTCAGCGGAGCTAATAATGCTATTACGTTTCCTAAGGTTGGTAAATTGAGACGAAAAAGTCCAAATATTATTAGAAATCAGAAACTAATCAGGAATTTCTTTAAATGTTATTATTGTTTTTATTTGATATTAGTCGGATAATAGTTAAATCAAATCTTGGTGCTTGTTTTATAATTATTAATTTTTTTATCATATCCAGTTTTTTGTACATATTTTCATCAGCAATCAGAACGATCACTTTATTACTGCAACTCCTATAATATTGGTGAATCTTTCATTAGTGCAGCAATGCATTTAAAGAGTAATTTTTACTTACATATATATTATTATCAATATATCTAAGAAAAAAACGATGTCAAGACTGTTTGACATCAGACTGCCGATGCAGGTACATGTAACGAACCTGAAACTTCTGATTGAAAATCTATAGCTCTTACTAATAATTCACCAGGAGGCTATAATAAACATATGACTCCAAAGTTAGTTTTAACAAAAATGAATAAAAGCATGCAAGTATTCATTATATAATTTTGCCATTTTACCATATTGACGCCATTAACTGAATGTTTACAATAATTTATGGCTTTGTAATTTGATTTAATAGAGTCTACTTAATTATTTAAGGATGAATGGTCAGTTCGCTCTTAGCATTTATCATAATCACTATAAATTGATATTCAACGTCAAAAACAATTACAATTGAATAATAAATACAAGTATAAATTGAAACAAAAAAACTTAGAAAAGTAGTATAAATTAATCATTGTGAGATCTATTAATCAAAAATTCATGATGTCTACTCACAGATAATTAAAATATTTTTTTTTTTTTACAAATGTCGTTCGAAAAAGTTATCATAAAGTCATAATTTTGACAAACATCTGAACAATTTTCTAACGAATAAACTAAAATATTATAGGCCTACGACAAGTAATTAAATAATAAAAACCCATCAATGTTTAAAATAATGTGCTGGTCAAATGGGATTTAGTAAATAGCTATTACTAAGGAAAAAGTTTGATTATACTTGAATTACAATTTCTTTTATTTATTGTTCAGTTAATGTCGGTGATTACAGACAATACTTTGTATCAAGCTCTATAAATAATTCAAGATTCTATCTATATATTTAACTTTTTTTCGAAAATCTCGTTGTGATCAGTGGTGCAAATCAAAGTGGTAGCGATGCGTAAAGTAAAATATGTCAAGACTATTGTAATATATTTTCTTATATTTTGTTATTTTATTCGTCATCGAAAATTATTGCTTGACGAATAAAATAGTCTAGTATACTAGACCAAAATAAAACCAAAAATATTTAAAATAAGTGCTAAGTGCCCCAATTTAACCTGGAGTTTAATCATATTGTTTTCGTGCTGTCTACGAGTGTTTAATAAATTATGTCTTATAATGTAGGTTAACAATGCATATTAAAGTTGATTTTTGATTATGATTTATATCTTACCCCACACAGCACATGGTTGACATAGGGTCAACCTATGGTCTGTCTAAACCCATTGGGTTATAAATTGGCCCATTATGGGCTTATAATGACCCGGTAGACTGTAAATGGAACCAAACAGGTCGACCATTGTTTGACCCGTGCTGTATGGGACGATTCTTATGTTCCAATTGTTACGCCATTTTTTGAAAATCTATTCGCAACTCTTATCAAGACCGTGCCTATGGGTCTAGGCACAGGGAACACGCAAGAAAGCCGGAGCCTTCCGAAGACTTCCGAAGCCCTTCCTAAGCGAAATCCGATCGAGGACGATAAGAATGGCTCTCTTCTACCACGGACGCTCTCGAGAGAACATATTACAATAAATTACATAATCTTTGTTTTAGTATCTGATATATTATTAAATAAATCCAACGTAACTTGATATATAGTTGTTGGTGTTTGATTTACATACTCCGCTTATTAAACTTTCTTCTATATAAATCTATAATAATTTACGAGTTTTCACACTGATGGCACAGCACAATGTACACATTTTTTAAACATAACTAAACAATATAACGGTAATGTTGACGATTCCCAAATTAGTTGACGGTTTCCCAATTTTGAGAGTCATCACCCATTGCACTATCATACAACTATTATTATCGGCGTTTTCATTGTTAAGTAATGCTAGAGATTCAAAATAATTCCACTATGCTCCAATATTAATTATTATTGGAGCCATTTTCATTAGAACCACTCATTTTCCATCCCACAGTTGCATAAGACCATCTTAGAATGTTAGTTTACCAAATTATAGACAAACTCCTTCATTCAGTGTGAATCAGAACATAGGTCAACTTCCTAGTACACATATTATGGACAAATTGTTGAATTAAAATAGAAGTATCAAATTTGATGCTCATATAGTTTAATACAGACAATAGCTCCTTAATTAAAAAATAAAAGGGCTATGCAAAAAGATATAAAAAGTTAAGCAAATTAAAATCTTGATATCTGAACACATGTACAATTTGACTCACAATATGAATTTTTTTCAACCTAAATAGTTTTACTTACCAAGAAAATTTGTTTAGGCGCTTTGCAGAAGGATGCTTTATATAACGCATGACAACTCAATTCTTATAATTAACGAGTGATTTGTAGATAGAATTTCGAAGTTTTATGTTAATATAGTATAAAAAAATGGTTATAATTTCAATAATTCTAATTTTATTTCAGGTTTTCGATTCAGAATGCATTGGCCTGCAAATTTCGAGCGATGGCCATCATGTGATGTCTTGCTCTAAAGATGGAAAATTGGTTTTGTTTGATACAAAAGGAAATGTTACGCAAAAAATCGAAGACACTGGACTTGGTTCGAATCATTGTGCTCGGTTGTCACCAAATGCTAAATTTGTAATAGTCTGTGGTAAGATATTCTGATGATCCTAATAGCCTAGAAAAAGGGAGAGACCCCGACACGTAGTATAAAATATATTTTTGAGAAAAAATTGGGCATTTCGTCCAAAAAGCATAAATGATAATTGCTATGCACAAAAACTTCAACAATATATACAAAAATTTCTTAATATCTATTTCAATGCCAAACTAATTGAAATTAGATAAGGACTAAGGAATAAGGACAGGGGCAACATTTTGTGTTTATCTGTCTATAATCAGAAAATTCTGTTTGTGATTAGCTCGATACTTCTAAAGATTCCATTCTTCAATTATTAGGAAATACTTGTTGAAACCAAATTATTTTTTATCACAGGATTCTCACCAGATGTGAAACTTTGGACGATTGGCGACGATAAGGATAAGGCATCGGCAAGACAAAATCCTTCATCAGGCAGCGATAGCAGTTTGAAAAGAGCTTTTGAACTTACCGGACATTCTGGTTCCGTTTGTGATGTCGCTTTCGAGATGCAGACACTCCGAGTTGCCAGTGTTTCGAAGGCTGATGGATGGCGTCTTTATGACATCGATGGTAAGATATTATTATTGCTACTTGTGAGCACAATACTTAATTCATTCCTCTTCCCTGCCTTGATTATAGATCACTTTTTAATTTACTTTATCCCAATTACTATTTCTTTTCTATTACCTCAGTGAATTACAAGAAGGGTCAATCTCCAATTCTTCTGAAGAAGGCACCGTTCCAAAATGCTTCAGGAAATGTTGGCGCTGATGATGAAGTATCGCACGTGGCCTTATCGCCTGATTCGAGTGTGATTTGTGTTTCTCAGGGAAGCGACCTGATGTTCTATGAAACTGAAGGCGGATCCTTAGACAGGTGCATTGAGAAGGTCTACAGCACAGGTAATAATTAACATTTATAATATTCAGAAATCTATGTAATCGTAATAAAAGAGTTCCAACGATTAAGTGTGCATTGCCATGTGCAGACAGTGTCGTGAATTCGAACTCCAGCTCTGGATAACCTGATATCAGTATCAGGTTATCCAGATATCAATTTTCTTTTGAAAATATATATCTTTTTGAAAATCTCTTACATAGGGAATATGTATACATATCTAATAGATTGTAAATACATATAACTAAACTGCAGAATGAATAACTAAAAATATATTTCTAGGTCCAATCACTGGTGTCAAGTTTGATTCAACTGGAAAGTATGTTTTTTGTACCGGTGACAAGCATGTCCGCATATTCCATAATGTGACTGGATACAAAATTGAAATTAAAGAAAATCTCAATAAATTGAAACACAATACAGGTGTAATGAATTCTGCTACTAGTGAGAGAATTTCTAAGACTATTGAAGACTCGAGGAAGTTTTTGGAAAGTATTGGAGAAGAAGAATGGAAATGAACTGAATAAAACATTAACAGATTGTAAAAAAGTGATTTCATAAAAATAATATATATATATATATATATATTATATATTAACCATATAATTCTTAAAATGTGTACTTTCAATCATAGCAAAAAAGAGAATTTGTTTTTTGTCATTGTTTTTGTATACCTGCTTTATTTCAAATGAAATTGCACTTTTTACAATCTGTGTCGACTGATATACATTATTCTATAAAGTCAAAACATTCCACCGAATATATTAATAGTTTAAATACTAATAAATGATTATATTCTAAAAATACTAATAACATTGTAACTAATACTTTTATATATGTTTGTATATCTTAATATGATTCTATAAAATATTTTTTGTATTATGTTTGTAATAAACAGTTATTTCTGTATGTTTCCTGTATATGTATTCAATCACCTTTACTTAATTCTATATATTATTAAATTTTGTAAAATATTTATGCTTTATTTAGCCAATAGTTAAAAAAACACAATGAAAAATGATTTTACTTATGCAATGATTTCTCAATTTGATGATATAGATTATTTAAAGGCAATTTGATAATATAGATAAACTTTTATTTGATATGATATATGAATGATCTTTTTTTTTAACACCAATTCTGATGATAACTATTTTCAATCAATCAAAAAATGGAAAGTTCAATTTAATATTGCATATTTATTTGCATATGTTAAGAGAATACTATAATTCTGTGATTTAGTTTTAATAATCGAAAACTGTGTGATAAAAGAAATAAGCTAAAAATATAAATCTATTCAGATTTAGGTATAATACATATAAGTATTGAATAATTTTGTGATTATATGTATTAAATGAGGATATGTAGGAAATACAGTATAAATGCAATTATTAATCAAAAAAATTCAGCAAATTAATCTGAAATGATACCAGATATGGTAAGAGTTTAATATACATAATATATTAGTTAATGATATAGAGATATTAATTAATATAATATTTTGATAATAATTTATAGCTAAACTCAAAAAGTTTAACAAATAATGTCTACTAATTAATATTAATTCATAAACAAGTGCATGCTTGTTTTTTAATAGGTCAACATAAAATCAAACAAATGCTCACACCGTTGTGACATTCACATTTTTTTCTAATATAAAAATATACAAAATTAAATCGGTGCTATGGTCTTACTTGAACATCGCATGTTGGTGTATCGTTTAATTCCATGTAATGATAAGTGAGTAATTCGATTGATAAAACTAAAAAATCGTTCACAAATAATAATAATGTATCTAAAACTTTACCTATAATTATAAAGTAAATAACAAGAAATGTATTTCTGTGCTTTGAATCTTCCGCCATATTTGAATAACAAGCAGAAGTTGGTATTTAAATATTTCTGAAGGTCAATTCCTTTTATTCAGTGTAAACATAAAGAATGTATTTACAAAAACATAATTAGACACAAATATTTTGTATTATGCACGACACATATTGTAAATTAAATAATTAAATAAACATTATAATTTTTTGCATATTTCGCATTGAACGTTGGCTATCCTGTGAACTACAATATGGCCGACATCTAATTTGTACTGTCGTCTAACTCATAATCCAATTTGGAAATAAGTGTAAATTTCGAGCAAAAGTGGTAGTTTAATTTATTATCTAATATTTGTGTGTGTAACGTTAGTTGTCAGTGATTATTATTCTATTGTCGGAGAACATATAGGTAAAAAAATATTTTAATTAGTGATACGGAATCATTTTGTCATTTTGGCATATTGCAATATTGCGTTTTGTGTGCACTTTTAGTGTTTCCTAATATGATTGTGCATAATGCAGGTGCATTGATAATAATTGATTACTAAATTGTTTGTGACGTACATTGATAATTACATAAATCGTTTTTATACGCTATGAGTTTTTTTCACATTTTCTTTGCTCATAACATTTTTTTTCAAAACAAATGATTTCAGCCATCACACTGTTACGAGTATTGACGTACGGGGGTCAAAGGCTAAATTTTCTGGTAAATAGTTTTCGGTTTACCCGTCTGTTTATTTGGAAATTAATATGAAAAACTTGAAATATGCTTTTCAAAGAATTGTAAAAAGTGGGAGCAAAGTCGTGACACTAATTACGTATTTTTTCTCACGGATATGATTTCGAATTTAGCTAAATGCGCTATCACAAGATTACTCATCATTTCAGAATTGCACAATTATCTGGCATGTTTTGTTTTAAATTAAGATTGCAAATGTTTTCAAATTTTAATATTTGATTTTAAAATAAAATTTATTTAAATTGTATTTTTAATTTCTATAATAAAATTATCTGAATAGTATTTCATTTTTTATTCTAGTAACATGATCCGTAGGCCTGTGGTAGGTCCCAGGAGCAAGGAGTGGAAATGTTGCTTCTGTCTCCACGTTCGGACTGCAACAATATGTCTTGGCATTTGGCATTTGGTAAGTAATAACTTATTTCACATACTTTTTGTATTTTTGTGTATTTTTTGAAAAGCCGACACAAGACCAAATCCCACTTATTGGTACATATAACTTCTACTATAATATGTAAATGCATATACGAGAATTTGATATTACTTTGAATCATTTTTTTATATTCTTTATATTATTAGTGCATTCATATTGTAATTACGGTTATGATATTTTTGCCTAGATGCTAGAACTCGTTAATAGATTATCAGTTACAGTCACTTATTTCTACATTATTAAATTCTAGATTGTGCTCATAGATAAACAAGCATGATTGTGCTATAATTTATCTATTTATTTATGCGGACAATAGTTGAAAATATTGATGAACAGAAAAATTTTCATCATTTTTTTATATTGTGAATTACAGTTATGTGATATTTTCGTAGTTGCTAGAACTCGTTAGATCATCAGTAAGATCTCAATGAGAAATGATAACACATGCATGAATAATTCAAAATAAATATTTTTATATATAATTAAAAAATGTAAACAATTTAAAAGTATGACAATGGAGCATTCTAATAGTTTGAATCACAATATGAATTTTTTTTTTAATCCAAAACATCTTTCATTTTGAAGAAAATTATTTATATATAACTTATAAGAATTCAGGTAACTTTCTTTTATGTAATGCCAATTATTTGAAATTATCCATATATGTTGATTACTTGGATTAACACAATTGTCTTAAAATAGTTGCTTTTTTGCAATATTTTTAAATTTTCAATATTTTTTTTATGATATGAACTATTTTTATTACTTTATATATATATATACACACGTAATACGGTCTTCAAACTGACAACATGTTCGTTTGGAATAAGCTTTTTTATAATAAAATACATTATTTATTTTAATTTTACAATTTTTTTAAAAAAATTTCATAACTTGACGTCTTATCAATTTTTTATTCATATTTATTTTTTTGTGCAATTTTGTGTTTTTTTGTTATTTCCTCTTCAATTTTACATTTATCGAATATTTTTACATATTATATTTATACATTATTTTTACATGATAACTATATCTCCTACTACTACTCACTCTTTTTTATATTTTATATTTTCTCATGCAGTTTTATATCCATAGAAGATAAATTTTTACATAATTATATTATATTTTATTTTTCCATGATAAATCTATATCTACTACTACTACTCTTTTTTATATTTATATTTTTTTCATTCAGTTTTATATCCAAAGAAGATAAATTTTTACATATTTATATTACATAATTATATTTGAACTTATTTTTCCATGATAAATCTATATCTACTACTACTACTTCTTTATAATTTATTTTTTTCATTCAGTTTTATATCCATAGAAGATAAATTTTTATACTTTATTTTTCATGATAATTTATATCTACTACTACTACTCAATTTGATATTTTATATTTTCTTGTTCAGTTTTGTATTCATATTTTATCTAAGATTTTGGCATACTTATTTCCATAATAATCCTATTTCTATTTTACACCAATTTATTTAGTAGTTTTAAACTTTTTCTAAGGCTGCTGGATTTTAACTACTTGCCTTCTCATATTGATTAATTTTACCATTGATTTAATTTAATTACTACCGATAGATAAAAAAGATTATATATGTTTCATTTATTCCAGATGCTGCACTTGGTTGCACTATGTGTTTCTTGTGATAATTTTGCATTCTCCGAACCTGATAAACCAATTGGAGCACCCAGATCAATCAATGATGGGCGTTGGTGTTGGTTCTATTTCTCGTTATAACGGCGACAATAGCTTGTTAAACAAGGTTGATGATAATGGAACACCTTTGGGAGAAATGGAGCATCCTCCATATGCTTATAGAGACCACTCACTTACATATCGTAAGTACCTAGAATAATTTATAAAAAATTATAATTTGTTATATTAGAAAATAGAACAATATATCATATCATTGATCAATTTGTATGTTTTACATCATATATTTTTTTACCACTTCTGTAATATTGAATTATGATGTAATATTTTTTTTATTTCCATTCAATTTATTTAACTTAAGTATGGAAAATGAGCTATATTATTACTAAACTTTTATTTTGAGTAAGATCATGTTTGTTTCAACTACATTTTAGTTCTCAATTCATTTACAATTTAGTTTGTCATTGAAATTACATTTTTACATTATGGTTAGGAAACAAATTACTTTCAAATAATCTTTCAAAGGCATTTCCGATTTGTAGTCTACAGCTATTCTTCTAAACACTATTTGATTCAATATGATTATGATCAATGAATTTTTTTTTGATAATATGAAAAGTACTTTTTATTGAAATGGGCAATTTTTTACCATAATCAAAGCATCTGGATAACCCAAACTATTATTTATTCTAAACTAAGTTGATGGCTAATGATATAATAGAATTCTGAAAATTTTGCATATCAATGGATTTGAACAAGTTGAATATGTAAACATATTTATATTTTTATTTACTCTTTTCATTCAATATGTAAATAAGATTTCAATATATTTAGTACATTTCTGAATGGAAACTTGTAGCCTTGAAATTACAAAAGAAAGATATATTCAAAAAAATTCTGATCTAAACTAATTTAATATATAAATAATACAACTGAGCGATGGTTATGTGACGGTTTTACGAGAGCAGATTTACCGTACGCCACTATCAATATTACAGTTAACGCCTCTCGTTCTATTTTCCACGCAAAATTTAATATATTTCAAATATTAGAAAACGTGGAGTAGCGAAGGCAATGTATTTATGCATCCTAGACTGGTCTTTTGTCTGAGTATGTCCCTTTTTCCTTGCCTCTGGTACAATATCTGGAGTAATTTTTTGGCTTTTATCTCGTGTATGTGCATGTGTATGTATGTAAATATATATGTATGGATGAATGAATGAATGTGTGGATATAATTTTTGACGACGATTTTGAGAACACGGATCAGCCGACTTGAATGATTCAAAAAAAAAAAAAATTTGATTCTTATTGATAAAGAGACGTCCAAGATAGGTCCAGCCGTTTCAATGATATGGACAAAAGTGCCAAAAATTGAAATTCAGTGTTGGAAAGAATGAAGCATCCGATTTGAATGATTCAAAAAACATTTTACTGGTATTAACAAAATGAAGAACTGATTTGATTTTTGAGGCAGCAGGTCTAGCGATTACGGAGGACTAATAAAAAAAAAGTAAAAAAAAATGCCATAGCAATCATTAAACATATGCATTTCAAATTATCAGATATTTATAGAGATTTTAGTAATAAGTATGAATAATTGTTTTTATTTCTATGGATTCTGTACCAATATTTATCAGATATACTGCCATGCGGCGCTTACGCGCTTCGATATTTTGTTTATAAAACAGCTACGCAGCCCGATTGCTTTAAATAAAAGTTCATGATATTCAAAAAATGTCAAAATATAAAAAAATTAACATTATTCAAAAAAGTTAATTTTTTTAGAAAGTTTCAAACTTCTCAAAAATCGATCTTCTTTCAGTTTACAAATTAAATTAGTTTACTTAAAAATTTTAATTTTCGGTACGGGAAGTCCCAGCAATTTGCCTTAAGGCACGATGCAATGCACCACTAGTTTATATTTATTTTTATAAATGCTCTTATATATTGAACACATAGTTTTGTTTACATATATAGAGTACATATAATTTTTGTTTTCAAAATATGTTAGTAAAATCGTCCATCTAAACATATTGAAATTTCATTTCGACTTTGAAATTTGTTTCAGTTGATTTAACATTAGTTGAAACGTCCTGAAGATGTTTCTTTTTGTTAATTTTGGTATCTCGACGATTCAAGCCATTATGAATCGATTGAGGCCGTAATTGGAAAATGTATGTGTTTTCGGTGAAGCCGATTTTCTCATCGTTTTCTCAAAAAACTCAAAACCCATGCGATGAACGTCGATGAGCACTTGTTGGGCAGTTGTTCGATGCGATCGGTCGAGCCGTTTCTTTAGAATCATCAGAAAAGTGCAAAATCAGTGTACTTAGTTTCGTGGGGTAGCTCTTTTAGGACTACATGGTGGTGTGTTTATGCACTATAATTAATATAATTTTATATACATATTATAATTTTATTTAATAAATAACAATTGGAAATCGTATTGATTAGATTTTGCTGGAAAGCAAAATTTCATTTTCCAAATAAGTCGTTAAAAATTTTACGTAATTAGCTATGTAATTATTATTAATATCATCATATCATTTTATATATCAGTTTAATATCAACTCTTATCGATTGTCGATTAATTAATACTAATAATTAATACTAATAATTACAAGCATAGGGAAGTTTGTGAAACTTGCGTTAAGACAAATGCCACTTACACCTATTTATTACATATTGGAGTCAATTTGTATATTTACAAAACTCGTTTAAAATATCTACGAGTTTGTAATTAATTTTTATTGTTTGTGACATTGATATGACATTACACAAGTTTTGTTCATAAAAGTTGATACACACTTTTGTATATGATTTCATATACATATATCTGTTGATTATTTATATATCTGCAATGGAAACCACAAGCGGTTTGGAGAAGATAATTAAATTAATCATGAGCAGAATATAAACATGAAAAATCAATAGGACATCTAAAAATATTTCTTTTAATGCGGTTAGCACAATAATCCAATATGTTGGAAAAATCAATAAAATATTTTGTCATATCAAGTTTGTATTTTGGTAAATAAGATTATCTAAAAGGTTGAATAAACTTTCTTTATACTTTTCTGGTACTTGTAAAAGTATTTGCAACTTCAGGCTTATTTTATTTTCAATTTTTAATAATAATATTCCTATTGATTAAGATAAATGCTTTGTTGATATTTATATTCAAAATATTTTTTAAATATTTTTTATGAAAGTATAAATATACATACATAAAAACAATTGTTTTTGAACATTGTGAGATAATACTTTCTTTTCAAGAAAGTTATTATCATAACATTTCAATTTCCTTGACTTTACTATTTGCTGTCGTCTATCATAACAAAATTCTGAAGTTATAAATAATTAATGAAGTGTAACAACATATCTTATCAGTATATGAATTAATTACAAATAATTTTTTCATTTATTTTTATTTGCATACAATTTGTTTTTATAATGAATTTGCTATAAACTCAAAGTTTGTAAAATTAATTTGGATGCAAATACTTGTATATAGTATTAACTAAAAATAAGTAAATGCGAGAAAAATCCTACATGGAGTTCTATATATTAATAATATACACATTTACTTATTCAATCAGCATGTTCTATAATCATAACTTACAATTATATACATATCAATAAGATATACATTTATCTTTTCATTCAGTATGTATTATAATCAAATAAATAAAAGCGTACTAGACTAAATATAAGTAGCCATATATATAGAACGCACTCTGATTTTTAATTGAGATTCTTTAATTAACATTCAATCAGTAATCATATATTATATCATACAATATACTAAAATTGTATAAATTAAATATAATAAGTAAATTGTATTAACTAAATATAATAAAGAAATTGTATTAAACTGAAATAAATATTATTTTTATATAAAACCTATGTTATAAAATATAACTATGGAATTACTTGGAATGGTTTGATGATTTATATTATTCATGCCATAACTTTATACAGCTTTTGCTCAATTTAACTTAATCATTAATATTTGATATTATTCCATTTGTAAAAATTAAGAAATATGTAATTCAGAAACAAGTTGTTGGTTCTTTTTTTGACCTCGGATTATGTTTCTATATAAAATTTGTATATATTTTTTTGACTTGGCAAGAAATGATTTGTTTCATCATTCCAATCATTCCAAAACCATTCCAAACTTCCAGAATCATTCCAAACTAATAATAATCTAAATATCAAATATCTCAGAGAATAAAATGCATTCTTTGGAATCTGACGAGCATATTGTATTACAATTTCAGAACTACCTATTGCCTAATTAATTTGGATCTGTAATTATAAAATTAAAATGCATATATATGGGCTTAATTTTATAATGGCATAGGTTTTTCAAATTATCCAATAAATGAATTGATTATTATTTTCATACTTCCATTCATTTATCATATATTAGGTGGTAATATTGAATTAAAGATTTGGTAATAAAAATTTCTTTCATTCCAGATGATGTGGACATGGGTGCTCTGGTTACAATTTGTACACTGGCCATAACATTAATGATGTTATATGGAGCAGTTAAACAAAGCCTGCACATATTTTGCCATTCTTCTGCTTGCAACTATTTGATTTTGCCATAACTACGTAAGTATTTTCAATAAATTTTTATCAAATGAAACTTTATTTGAACTTTAAACCACAATAATAAAATAGTCTAATTTAATCGCGCAGTTTCTTTGATATTCAAGCATTTTGGGTAACATTCTTAATTAAAACTGAATAAATGGTTTTAGTTTAGTCAAGTTTTATCAGTAGCAATCTAAATAACTCAGTAAGAGTCTAAATAAATAACTAATTAAAATATTTATAATTTAATATTCCCAAGCAATTGATATTCTATTTTTACAAATAGTTGTACATATGTTGCAGCAAATATTTTTTCAAGAAAAGTAAAATTACAAATAGAAATAAAATATAATTTTCATTCCACATTCGCAAACAAC